GTATTTTTAGTAGAGACGGGGTTTCACCATGTTGACCAGGATGGTCTCCATCTCTTGACCTTGTGATCCACCCGCCTCGGCCTCCCAAAGTGCTGGGATTACAGGCTTGAGCCACCGCGCCCGGCCTACATTGTTGATCTTAAGGTAAAAGTGTTACAAATATCTAAAAGTCATATCTAAAAGTAAACATAAACTGTGTCCTATTCTTTACACTTACTTTCGTATCCCATTGGGTAAAAATGTTAAACATTGGAAAAATTAATTTTCTTATAAATTATAGGAAACTGGTGGAAGTATGATAAACTTGTGGAATATTGTTTCTCTGAGTTGTTAAAATGACTTTAGCATAGTTTAACAAAACAGTTTAATGTTAGCTTCAAAGAACTTTATTTTTAATTTCAATTTTTTTAAATATTTCACAATAGATAATTACAAGTGTAATCATTATTGGTCATTGGCCATTAATTTGTTTCAGCATATGTACCTCAGTGGGCAGTAATTACTGCTCAGCCTTCAATAAGATATCATTAACAAAATGAGAAGACCAGACAAAATATGTTAATTACCATAAGTGCTCCACTGGCTCCTCCCTGGAATAAACAAGTCTAACAATTAAGATCACACTTCCTTTTTGCCAGACTGTATTATGCAGTGCAAAAAAAAAAAAATGGCAAATGCTACATAATTTAAAGCAAGGGTGTTTTGGGGGTTAATATTATTTTCCTTTTAAATTCATATCAGCAACTATAATAACCCAAAGATTGACAGCAGCTCTTGCATCAAGCAGCAATCTCATAAAAAGCTCGTTGTTAATAGTGAAAGAAAAAAATTGACTACTATACCCTATATAATTAAGATAAGAAATATCTCAAAATTATGGAAATGTTTTCATATTGTAAAACTATTTGTAGAGCAAGTTAAATGGATTTCCAATCAATTCATGTATAAGTAGACTAGGGAATATTTTAAATGCACCAATTAAGAAGTAAAAATATGCCAAATTCAGAACATAATTGGTTTGGGTAGCCAGTGTAATATACTAAGCATTTCTTAGCCTGGTATTTGCAGTATGTTGCTATCCTAAAAACATAATCAAAATATGGGTCACTACAATGCTCTCCAGCTTTTAATTTTTATGACTGCCAGTTCATCCCTCAGAACTTTCTAAGCATATTTATTCTTCCTAAGTATTTGTCTTCTACTTCATACACACACACACACACACACACACACACACACACACACACACTTCCCATTGCAGTTCATTCAGGCCTTCTCTGCAACTGGGTTTGCCATGCATCTCATATCCAAACCTTGCAGCTGTTCCTGCCTTTCTCTTATTGTTCTGAGCAAGGCACATCTCATTTTCCCCTGATTCTT